TTACCTCTTCAATCACAATCGCCACCTGCAAAGGGAAATTAGAATCCGGAGAAAACAAAAGCAGCGAGACATGTTGCAGAATTTCGATTCCTTTTCTGCTTTCCTGTTACCTTCCTCATGGATTCTCCAATGGTAAGCTCTCCGCTCCCCCCTCTTTATCTATCCCTATTGTACTTTTATTTTCCTTCATTCCTCTTGAACGATTTTTTCACATTTTATTTTATTTTAATTGTTCTTTTCCTCGTACATTATCTCATTGGAACATTAATTTGATTCCGGATTGATTTCCCATTTATTGTCCTAATCAAAGAACTCGTAGTTATCATCATCATTTCGTTCGATTCTCATTTTTGTTTTTTGAAATGGAATTTCGGATCGGGTTCTGTTATGCTGAGCTGAGTAAYTAGTTGATAAGATGTTTGATACCTGTGCTGGGAGCGTATTTTGCATGTTCAGATCTATATTTTCTTTGTTTGGATTTCTAAGTTTGTATTAACTACAACCAATAATGATTAGTGCTACTACTATTGTAAAGTACTATGTTTCTCCATCTGATTTACATCGTCGATCGTTTGGATTAGGCCATTGAACTTGAAACAATGTAATTTGATTCTTTTTTTTCCTCTGAAAGCCAATGTGATTTGATTCTCACTGTAATTAATTGAGTGTTAGGAAATTTAACGGAGAGTGGAGTGTGCTTTCCATGTAAGTTTACTCACAGCGAAAATAAAATAGATTATCAATATACTGCACAGTTGCTGAACAACTACCCTTTAAGGTCACATGCTTCTTAGTGTATGGTTGGGGCTAGGCTCTGAAGTTATTCTAAATGGTCAAACCCTATTACCATGTAATTTCTTCTACTCAATCTGCTTCTACCAAATGCTGTTTCTGTTTCTTTAGAATAGAAACTTGCTCCTAAGGAACAAATTGCTAAACACTAGTGTTATTCCCCAGGAACCAGAAATTCCATTGCCAAACGGGGCCTTRGATGCCTGAAGCATACGGTAATCAAAGCTTAAGTGTTAAAGAGGGTCATTTCCTGTTTAATAAAGGCATGGATAAATGAATCTTTTGAAAAATCTAAGTTGGCCAGAATATTAGTTTCATGGTAAATATCTTGCTCACTAAATTGGGGCGGTCAATGAAAATCTAAGTATCAACTTTTTTGTTTTATAATTTACCAAAAAAAACAAWTTTCTTTTATAGTTTCTGTCAACCAACATAAAATAGAATAACAAATCAAGGAGAAAATAAGAAGAAGAAATAGAGAGAACACCAAGATTTAATGTGGTTTGGCTCGGTAGCCTACATCCACGGGAAGAGAGGGAAAAATATCTACTATGAGAACAAGAGATACATGATTGATCTTTCTATAGACTCACAACAAAATACCACTCTCACTCTCTCCTCAGACCCTAATCTCACACACTCACTAGCTTAAATAAGCGAAGTCCAGATTATATCAGAATTACACRTAAGCCCTTCTTTCTCTCATAAATACATCCATGTCCCCATAACTTATCAATATTACAAATATACCCCTGTAATCTCCAACAACCCAAATACAACCAAATACAATATAYCTCTCAACAGGCCCCCTCAAACTCAAGGTGTGAAAACAAGCTTGAGTTTGCAAATAAGGATGTTGAAGCAAYCTCCATGAAAACAGGTTTACTATTGAAGCAAAAACCATAAACCTTGAGATGTTGAAGGGACTTGAAGCAACAGTTCACCAATACACCACAAATTATCACGTCACTACACTTTTCTCGAACACCAAGGGAGCTTCACACGTTCACCAACAATCCACCAATACACCACAAACTACCACATCACTACACTTTTCGAATACCACAGGAGCTTCACACGCTCACCAGCAAAGTTATCACAACGCCACAAACCATCACTAATCATATGCTTCACACGCTCACCAACAAAGTTATCACAACACCACAAACCATCACTAACTCACAAACAACCACAACTTGAGGCATCAAAACCTTTTTTTCCAACTCACAAAACACCACAAACTCACAAGATATTGCAACCTGAGGCTAGTAGTCAACTACTAGCCCAGGTTGTGAGCTGTGAAGGTGTATGTTCTACCAACCTGGGCAGGATGTATGAACCACACACACACACACACATACATATATATATATATATCAACAAAATAATAATAATTTTATCAGATTGAATGTTTGATTCAGTGAAACATGTTGAGTAGGTGATTCATGCTGCTTATTTACGTATGTGTACTTAAGTATTTTAAGCTAAACGTCATTGAAGTAGCTAATTTATACTTAACCTTTTCCCAAAAAAAAAGTATTTTAAACTAAGTTTCATGCAAGTATAGGATTTTATGTTCACCTGATGTCTTCACCTTGTTTAGGGGGTGCAATTAAATAGGTTTGAGGATATTGCTTACGATATTGTGTAGGCATTTAGCCATAAATCTGTTATCCYTTCATCATTCTCTTATTGTCTTAAGAAGCATGGCATTTAGCTGGGTAATTAATAAAATTGCAATTACAGATTTTTTTTAATCATTAGCAGTTAAGTTTTATCGATATTGGATGAAAGGATGGTATATGTACATTGTTGTACATATCTGTGCAGTACTTTTTTTGGTGGTTGCTATATTGTATGTCATCATGGTGTGAATATTCAGTCTTCATTCGTTTGCAAATTTTATGTGCATCATCTTGGTTTACCTTTCTCTCTTCTAGTACTTAAAGGAGGGTTACCTGCATTTGTTCATTTCATTGTAGACAATGTACAGGGTTTTGAATTCACTTTCCACTTTCTTTGACCCCTTGTKCTTGGTTTTGTGTCAGCATAAACAGTAAATGATAAAAAATCCTTGCTATTTTTTAGCTGTATGTTGGTTGATTGATTTTATCTTGATTGGTGTGATCTGAAAATTTTGTGCTCTTTTTTTTTTTTTTTTGTGGTACACAGGTTTGGAGTGTTCTGATGAGCTGGGATTATCATGTTGCAGTGCCTAGAGGGATTTAAGCATCTGTTTGCTTTCCTGCTGGGGTGTTGCGATCTAGATTTATACAAACAAACAAAAGGTCTCGAAGATCCAGAAGCTCTTGCAAGCGAAACAGTGTGTGAGTTGCATATCATCCCTAAAATTTCTTTTCTTGATGCTYGATCGATTTTATGAAACTGTTAAACTTCTTGAAGATATGTGTCAATACAGTGGTTGCTATTCTAATCTAGATGGTGACATGCTTATTTTGTTTAACAGGTTCTTAATTTCAAAATTTAAAATTTTCCTGTTATTTCGAAAATGGCTTGTAATATATTTATTTGTATGTAAGCATACTTTTTTTTGATTGATTTTGTATGTAAGCATATTGTTTGTTGTTTTTATGCCTGATTGAAAGTATTTTTTATGAATGCCTTGTGACACATGTAACTGCAGAAAAATTTAGGTCATCTACCATAGCATAGTTATCCCAAGAAGCATAAATTGGTTTGGCTGTCAGTAAATTCAGAAACTACCCCTGGCAGATTGGGTAAGTTCAAATATGTTAGAAAGTAGGAACATGGATTGGACTGCATTGTTGTTATTCTTCTGAATTCTGATGCCCTGCTGGCCTGCAGGTTGGGGGTACTCCCTGGCCTTTATGGAACCCCTAAAATTGCTTATCTACCCTRATTTACATTGTTCTTGAAACAATTTCAAACTAAAACAAGAGATACACATTTTTGTTTAAACAAGTGCTGTGCTCTTTTGTTTAATTATTCCTAATTAGTATAATTCAGTATAGTTTAAGTTGGCAAGGTGCCACCTAGGTGCGTAATTGCCAAGGAGAGCACCTAGCTTCCTAGTCAACTAGGCACCTACCTAGGTTTTGCCCAGGTGATGAATGTCTTTATATGAAAAGAACCTAAATCCTACTTCCTACATATATCCCTATGCAATCTGGAATGTAAAATAGCACTAATCTCTTTTTTTGGGTCTGCAAAACAAAAATGATTTTATTAATAAAATTAAGGGGGGGGGGAAATTACAACAAGAGGTTGTTCTGTTGACAACCCATTACAATAGTAAACATCCCCACTCTATTACAATGGATCCCAATACATTTGCTGTTTATTAACCCCTTGCTTAGCTAAACCATC